GCTTAGGTTAAGGGCCCTGAGGTCCTTCCAATCTTGGAGTCCTCTGATGGCCCCCTTTGTACCTCTCTGCCTGTGCATCTCCACTTATTTTCTTTGCTTTTTTTTTTTTTTTTTTGGGTCCGGTTGTGGGGCCTGAACTCTGGGCATGGGCACTGTCCCTCAGCTTTTCAGCTCAAGGCTACCACTCTACCACTTGAGCCACAGCACCACTTCCGGTTTTTTTTCTTTTTGCTTATGTGGTGCTGGGGAATCGAACCCAGGGCCTCATGCATGCAAGGCAAGCACTCTACCACTGAGCCATCTTCCCAGCCCCAATAGTTATCTTTTCTTTTTTTTTGGGGGGGGGGGGGTGGTCCGGTCGTGGGGCCTGAACTCTGGGCCTGGGCGCTGTCCCTCAGCTCTTCAGCTCAAGGCGAGCACTCTACCACTTGAGCCACAGCACCACTTCCGGCTTTTTTTTTCTTTTTTGCTTATGTGGTGCTGAGGAATCGAACCCAGGGCCTCTGGCATGCAAGGCAAGCGCTCTACCACTGAGCCACCTTCCCAGCCATCCACTTATTTTTATTTATTTATTTTTTTGCCAGTCATGGTGCCTGAACTCTGGGCCTGCGCACTGTCCTTCAGCTCTTCAGCTCAAGGCTAGCGCTCTACCACTTGAGCCTCAGCACCACTTCCAGCTTTTTCTGTTTATGTGGTACTGAGGAATCGAACCCAGGGCCTTGTGCATGCAAGGCAAGCACTCTACCACTGAGCCACCTTCCCAGCCCTCCACTTATTTTCTTAACCTCCCTCCTGGAATTGTTCCTTTGGAATTTTTCATTTTGGCTTTAGATTTTTTTTTCTTTTTTTTTTTTCTTTTTGTCAGTTGTGGGGCCTGAACTCTGTCCCTCAGGTCTTCAGTTCAAGGTGAGCACTCTACTCCTTGAGCCACAGCGCCACTTCTGGCTTTTTCTGTTTGTGTGGTGCTGAGGAATCGAACTCAGGGCTTCATGCATGTAAGGCAAGCACTCTACTACTGAGCCACCTTTCCAGCCCCTGGCTTTAGATTCTTCTTTGTGAACTCAGAAGCCAGGGATTTGACTGATCTTTTCTGTACTGATTCTCTCTCTCTTTCTCTCTCTCTCTCTCTCTCTTTCTCTCTTCCCTCTAAGGCCATGTCAGCTGCTAAGTTGATCAGGTAACAATGTGAAAGAGTACACAAGTTTTGGGGGAAGTAACCTATGAATAATCTCTCAAACATTTCATATGCCCCGTTTGCAGAAAAGGTGGGCCCAGTTTCAAGGGGCTGGCGTTAACCATGGTCACCCCCTAAAATTTCCAAAGTCCATCTCCCAAGTGTGTCCATCTATTTAGATAGAAAGAAGCATATGGCGTTCAGAAAAGAGGAGCCGGAGGGTTGCAAAATGGCGAAGTCCCCAGGGAAAGCCCGTCTTGGCCGTTGTCATGGAAGTTTCTCCCGATCACTTGCGGGCTCTGATAAAAAGAAACATCTGTCACGTTTCTCCGAAGGGTGACAGGCTGAGAGCGCAGATCCAGGGGAAAGCTGCTCACTTGGTAAGCTCCGATATGGATCTCCTATTAGGCGATAGGCCACGAGAGTCTCTCGTGTCAGTTCAGGGCCACGGGTGTAGTGAGCTGAAGGTCTGGGCCAGCTCGAGATGATTATGGTAGATACCCACCCATCTTAGCAGCCGGGGCGGGGGGGGGGGGGGGGGGGGGGGGCGGGGCAAATGAGATCTTCCACCTCATCACCGGACTGCCAGATGGGGCTCAGGTAATGACACGTAAGACTTCTTGCTCTGCTACACAATGGTTAATATTCACCAGAAAGGAGAAAGTAAACATCTTGAAAGTTTTTCTTCTGTAGCATTTGTGCCTCCATAGCAAGAGAACAAGACACGTTTCCAGCCTTGTTTTTTCATGCTTCACCACTGTGCCTGTCACAAGTGCATGCTAGCTGGGACACGGTTTCTGGAAAGGCGCAGCCGGGAAGATGTCACTGAGCTTTGCCTGCTGCGTTGTAGCCTTCGGAAGTCTACAGGGAAGGGCGGCTCCTGTGGCATTTCCAGTTCATGCAGGCGCAGACCCTGCCAGTCTGGGTAACAGGTCATTCTGTTAGAGTATGTCCATCACCTAGCATGAATGTCAGTAGAAGTTAACTTCATCGTCAAGTCAAGACATCCACGAGGTCTTCTGAACCTAACAAAACCAGTGCCATGCACCTGCTTGGGGAAGGAAAGTGCATGTGCCAACTCTGTAACTGCGATCACGTTGGAAGACACCTGCACTGGCAGAGGGGCCCGGCGTCCTCTCCACCGCTGCCCACTTGGAAGCAGCCGGGGCCTGCCGAGGGCTGTCTCCTGAGGATGATTCTAGATCAGCATGAGCAGACCAGGGAGGACACTGACGATAATGAGACTTTCAATAATGGTCATCTCTTGGCTGGGAAGGTAGCTCAGTGGTAGAGTGCTCGTCCAGCATGCATGAAGCCCTGGGTTCGACTCCTCCGTACCACATAACACAGAAAAAGCCAGAAGTAGCGCTGTGGCTCAAGTGGTAGAGCGTTCACCTTGAGACAAAGAAGCTCAGGGACAGTGTCCAGACCCAGAGTTCAAGCCCCACAACTAGCAAAAATAAAATTTTTTTAAAAAAAGTAATAATGGTCATCTCAGAAGTTTTCCCCTTGAGACGTTGGGATGGAAATGTGATCCATCTGGCACTGGATCTTTCCCAGCACTGTAGCAGGAAGAGAGCATGTTGCTGCTTTCCTGCTTGGGTTCTCAGCTTTCCAGGACAGATCTAGCTAAGAATGGCTGTGTACAACTGGATGGATTTTTTTTTTTTTTAACTGTAGACACACCGGGAGACATGGGAGAGGAAATACTACATAGCAGTGTATGAACTGCAGCATCAAAGCTTCCGGGTCCCCGAGTCTGACCCAGGAAGTACATTCTGCCTGTGGTATTGCTGGAGGAGATCCTGTTTTCTCCACAAGAACAATGCCTGGAGGGCTGGATGCCCATAGGAACTCAAGAACAGTTGACAGAATAGCGTGGATCGAATAGTAGACCCCTCTTCTCTTAACGTTGAATGGAGCTAGTATTTGCTAGAATCCAGGAAGCAATTTTAACATGAAATGGTATTAACATATAAGTTTAAAGCATGTCCTTGTACATTTGCTCTGTTGTTTAAGTCGATGGCCACCATTTTCATGTCCCCTCGTTTTTACAGCCCCTTTATCTTTTTTCTGCATACATCATATCCATAACATTAATTTTTTTTGTGTTTATCTTCTGGTAATACACAATGCAAATTAAGCAACGTGAACTCAGATCTTCCTAGCTTGGCTTCCAAAGTAGCTGAGATGTCAGGGCAGGACACCGTATCCTGCGTGCTGAGGGAGATGAGGTTTTGCTAACTTTTCACCTAAGCTGGCCCAGACCAAGATCTTCCTGTTTAATCATCTCTCCATGACTAGGATGAAGGCATGTACCTCCATGCCCTATTTATGATTGAGTTAGGGCCTGGGCTGGCCTCAAACATGATGCTCCTGATCTCTGCTTTCTGAAGAGCTGGGATTACACTATACAGCTTTAGATTTTTTTTTTTAATATGTTGAACCATACTCTTTGAATTGTTTTGTCAAAACTGGATAGCAATTTATTTTGCAGAATGTCCTTATCCAGCTTTTTTTTTTTTTTTTCCGGTAAGCATTTTCCCAGCAAAGATCACTGATAATTATCCTTCATCAATTTATATCCACGTAAGTCTGAATTAATGACTGCACACAACTGTCATGGGTAGACTCGAGTGTAAACACAGTGTTTTGGGAAGTTGGTGAACTTGCCAGAGAGGCCTCATAGCCCTGGGCACTGCTGACAACCAGGGCATCGTGAGCCATCTGTTAGACACCGCTGGAGAATGAGGACTGATTTATCAGTTGCTCCAAGGGCCTATAATTAAGAGCGTGTCTACTGTAAATACATTTTAATTAATATGCATAGGTAGCATCTCTGAAAGAACATCTCTGCAAAATGTTTTTCTAGTGCAAGCTCTGCAGAGCCTACTCTTAATGAACAGCCGGAGCCACTTTAAAATCAGCAGCATTTGCCTGATCGCATAATTGGTGCTCTGCAGTGCTTTTCTCCAGCCATCCTGTCTACACTGTGGTCCTGTAATTGATTTGCTCATCAGACTACTTTTCTTAAACGGGAAAGAGCAAATGTTTTGGTCCAATCCTCATTAAGTTACCACAATTTTTTTAAAAAAAATTAATGATTTGGAGATTTACTGAGCCTCTCCTATTTATACAGGCTAGAGATCCTAAATGCTTCTTCTAATATAATCAGGGATGCTTTCCTTCTCTCAATGCTTTAGTAGTAGCAATAAAGTATGATAGGTGAATGACAGTCTATTAAAAATATTCTCCTCCCGACTGGTAATAAATGGATGGATTTGGAAAATTTTAGGACTGCAAGAGCAAGAAATGTATGCATGTGTGTGTGTGTGTGTGTGTGTGTGTGTGTGCATACATACGTATGTACAGAGTCAGAGAGACGACAGGAATGAAATAGTGATAGGCAAAAAAGAAAATAAGACACGCAGGTAGATAGTTGAAGGTTTCAGATTTTATATATACTAGAGAGAGACAGAACACAGAGACTGGGAACACAGAGGACAGACATAGAACACAGAGAGACAGAAACAACGCGAGAGAGACCCAGTGAAATCAAATGACTGGTGAGACACGAGAAGGGCCAATCCCAGCAGTGCTGTTTGGCACAGATGTGGAAGGCAGAGGCCCTGAGGAGGCCATGTCGCTGATCAGGACAGGAAGAGGACCCAGGAACACCCAAGGAAACACAGCATCATAACAGGCAGCAAGAGACCTACAACCTCAACGCAACCTATGCACCTGTTAAGTGGTTCTATACCACTGATTTAAACGTGTTTTTTTTAAACCCTAAATGTATTTACCTTTTTTTTTTTTTTTGCCACAGAAAGGTATTGAAGGAAATCTCTTTTGGAGAACTAAACCCAAACGAGACCATCCAGGCCAGTTTGGAAGCCAAGCTCCTTTCCAAGCTAGACCATCCAGCCATTGTCAAGTTCCACGCAAGCTTTGTGGAGAAAGCTAATTTCTGCATCATCACAGAATACTGCGAGGTGAGATTCTTCTTCTCTCCCGAGAGCTTAATAGAAATCTGGGTCATAGTAAAAAAGCCTTATGTAAAGAGATGACATCTCCAAAGTTCAATTATCAAACCACAAGACAGACTATAGAGATCTTCATGTCTTGAAGCTAAGAATAACCATTCCTAAAAGACGGACAAAACTCAATTCTAATGAACAGTCTGTCCACGGTGGCAAACTCAGTCACAGGGAATATATATTTAAGATCACTGAAGTGTCTTCTTTCTCCAAGGGATGATCAGGAAAATCACTAAGGTGATGAGGTGGATAGAGTGTGGTACTTCTGAACAGCCACCCTGGCAATAGCTCTCAAAGCCGTGTGAAATGACAGACATTTGCATGCATAGCTATGCTGTGATTCAATCCTCTTTCTTTAGGTCTTTCAGTTAATAGGTCATCTTAATTCAGACATGACTGGTTTCTACTGATACCTCTGCTACTGCTTTTGGCAGGGTGAATTTATTTGTTGTTGTTGGTGGTTGTAGGGCTTGAACTCATGGCCTGCGCGCTGTCCTTGAGCTCTTTTGCTCAAGGCTAGCTAGCGCTCTACCACTTGAGCCACGGCTCCATTTCCATTTTTGGAGTGGCTAATTGGAGATCAGAGTCTCATGGGGACTTTTCTGCCCAGACTGGCTTCGAACCACGATCCTCGGGTCTTAGCCCCCTGAGTAGCTAGGATTACAGGTGTGAGCTTCTGACACCTAGCAAAGTGAATTTTTTAAACAGCTTTACAGTCTTAGAATACTTCAACTTGTCATTAGCACCGTCCAGTAGAACTTCCTATAATGGTAGAAATGTCTATACTTGTTTACAGGAGTTACCAGTCATACCTGGCCTACTAGCCCTTGAAGTTGAGCTGGATGCTATGTTTTGTTTAATTTAAATAATTTAAAACAATCCTGTATAGCTAGGGGGCTACTGTATTGGTAGGTATAGATGATGTACCTTAACTAATTTTTATGCAATTTTTGCATTATTAGACAAAGAATAACACAATGAACACAGTTTACCTTTCCTCCAGATTCCCCAGTTTTTCCACATTTGATTCATCATGCTATTTATTTATCTGCTCTATCTTAACTATTCTTAGTTTTTTGTTTTTTTTTCCTGAACCATTTGAGAGGAAATGTGTTATGATTTGGATCTTGGCTGTCCTCTGAAGGCCAGGTATTAAAGGCTTACTTGGCAAGCATCCTGACAGTGGGCGGAGCCTGGTGGGAGGGAGTGAGGTCCCTGGGGCGTGTCCCGTGAGGGATGTTCGAATGCTAGTCTCCTCTACTACCCCTCTGCTTCCTGACTGTGCAGAAGTGAGCAGCTTTGTTCCAGCACTGCTCCCTACCTTGATGTCCTGCCCCTCCCACTCATACCCCAGGCTCAACAGTGATGAAACCAGACAACCAGCCCTGGACCCAAATCTCCCAAACCAGTGAGCTGAAACCTTTCCTCCTCTGAAGCCGAATATTTTGAGATATTTTTGTCATAGGAACAGAAAGCAGATGAGTGCAAAGTTGCTGATGAGACGCTTCTTTGTCCCAAATACTTTCTGATTTGTTAAAAAGCGAAGAACCTTCTCCCAAGTACAGTACAACCGATTACAGGAAGCTCAGGAAATTAACACTGACACAACTGTGACTGTGTAATCCCAGCACTTCTCAAAATGGGATCCCAGACCAAGAGCATCCACATCGCTAGGGAACTCGTTGGCCTCCAGCCCAGTCATACTGAGTCAGAACTCTGGGAGTGGGGTTCAGCCATCTGTGTTGTGACAAGCCGACCAGGTGAGTTGGAAATAAGTTCGTTTGAGAATCACCCATCAAACTCACCATCCATATGCAAACTCAGTCTCTTTAGCCAGAGGAAGGACATTTCTATTTAAAAAAAAAATTGTGTGTGTGTGTGTGTGTGTGTGTGTGTGTGTGTGTGTGTGTGTTGGTAAGGATCTAAAACTGGGGGGATCATCTGTGTTAATTTTTAAACACTGGGTGGAGCTGAGGGTTCCCATCGCCGTTGCCATGGTGATGGCTGCTGGCTGCACTGGAGACCAGCTTGGGTGGGTGGGGGGAGGTCTTTGCTCCCCTGAGCGGTCAGGCTGCCACTTCCCAGCGTCCTGAGGAATGGTACATACTGTCTTTGAACCTGAAATGTAGGAAAGGGTTTGGTCAGATTGAACAGGGCAAACAGACATTGCCGCTAAGGAACAATGTGATAAGAGGCTCAGGGGGTAGAAAAGCACGCCATGATTGTTCAAACATTAGGCGAACATATTTTCAGTGTTGGGTTAAATATGAAATACAGGGTCTATTTATGTCATCGTCTAATGTCTTTTCTCCACATGTGGCCAATAGGCCACCTCCAGAGTCACCTAGGAATATCCAAGTTGTGTGTTTCCAGCAAGCAGCTGGCTGATCTAATACACTCTAATTCACACCCCATTGGGGGATGTTTATTTAATGGAGATGTGGCAGGGTGAGGGAATAGCATTTTGAGATATCAGCCCAGTGAATTAATAAGAGACAGCCTTTTAATTTTAAAGCAAAGACAAGTAGGGCAGAATGATTTTTCATGCTTCTTCTAGCCTCCAAACGCAGAGATGTTTTTTTTCCCCTTTGTATATTCTTCTCCCATTTCAGATTTGTATCTGGGCTTCTTCTGAGAATGTTCTACTTTGGTCTTTTAAGCTAGTTGTTTTTCTATAGACAGCTTTAAAAATGGATTAATTTTTTTTAAAAATCAAATCCTTATAGGATTTAACTTTTTCATGATAATCAAAGATGACGTTTAAAACACTGTAGTTGAGTCTTTATTTCTTGAAAGCCTTGGTATTTCAAAGTTCTCTGATGTCGGCTATTTACGATGAGGAACTGAGGCTAGACCATTAATCAACCAATGATAGTTTGGACTACAGAATTTTGAAACTTTAGAAGTTAACATCAAGGCTTTTGTCATAACTTTCAAGGGGTGACATTAGTGAGGGAAAGCATTTTCTGACAGCATTACAGACTGATGGAGGCATCAATGATGGTTCAAGTTCAAGTCTGTACTCTTCATTAAAGTTGTTCTCCAGTAAAAAAAATCATCCACATTTCTCAAAGACAAGAAAACAAAATGAACTGAGACTGTAATCAGAACTTAAACTGTGATGTGGCTGCTCATCCAAAGCATTTGGCTTTGACTTGGAAGAAAGCTTAGAGAAAATAATAAATGTTTTTCATATTGCTAGGTTCAAATCAGACTATATCACAAAAAATTGTATTTCTTTCTCTGTCATAGCTGAACATAATTTTTGTCTGAACCCATGCTTGATTTGTCTCCCTTAATTAAATCCTTAGAAAATAATCCACAGAGTATTTATTAAAGAACACATTAAGTACAAACAAATAGTTTTTCTTGCAGATAAGCATACAAAATGAAAATTGTAGGAGGAGGGATTTACATACAAGACCCAGCTCTGTGATGTAGTCTTTTGGTGTTCCATCAAGAATGGATAACGTTTCCTCCAGAGGGCCAGGGTGTGTTTGTGTCTCTCCTTCTAACATTTTACTTCCTAGAGACTGGTCCTTTTTCCCCTCAATAATGAACTTGTGTAGTTACAGGAAAGCAAAACAGGAAGCAAGCATACAACTTGTGTTCAGTATTTGAGGAGAGAGTTGGGTGCTAGGGATGTAGCTCGGTGTGTCTTAGCATCCCCGGGACAGGCTGCATGAAGAGATGCTGGCCAAGCTGTAGTAAATGTCACTGGACAGTATGCCCTCATATGACAAAGGACTCAGAAGAATAAAATGCAGAAGCAGAGAGACAGTGTAAAATCCTACAGTCCTTCAAATGGGAAATAAAAAGGCGTCATTGTAGTTTTAGATAAGGTGATGGTGTACACAGGGATTACAGTTACAAAGGTCAGGTAAAGAGTACATTTCTTTTTTCTTTTTTTCTTTTTGTCGGTCATGGGCATGAACTCTGGACCTGGGCGCTGTCCCTCAGCTTTTCAGCTCAAGGCTAGCACTCTACTGCTTGAGCCACAGCGCCACTTCCAGTTTCCTGGTGGTTCATTGGAGATAAGTGTCTCAGAGACTTTACTGCCCTGGCTGGCTTTGAACCACGATCCTCAGACCTCAGCCTCCTGAGTAGCTAAGATGTCCGGTATGAGCCACCTGCACCCAGCAAGAGTACATTTCTTTTTTTGGTGGGGGGGAGTCCGGTCATGGGGCCTGAACTCTGGGCCTGGGCGCTGTCCCTCAGCTCTTCAGCTCAAGGCTAGCACTCTACCACTTGAGCCACAGCACCACCTCTGGCTTTTTTCTTTTTGCTTATGTGGTACTGAGGAATCAAACCCAAGGCCTCAGGCATGCAAGGCAAACGCTCTACCATTGAGCCACCTTCCCAGCCTAAGAGAACATTTCTTTTTGGATAATGTCACCCCTTCCCTTGCTCTCTCCCACTTTTCCCCTCTCATTCCCACCCATTGGTTGTATAGTTCATTTTCAACATTAGTTTCCAGTGAGTACTACTGCTGCACTTGTTCGCCTAGGAATGCTATTTTAAAGCAGAGACAAATGCCTTAATTTCAGGATCCTTATACTTGGGACAGGTAATTATGTGTGTGAAAGCCATGTTCATAAAAGACAACTGTGCTTATGTTTGGCCTTGGGAAGAAATAAGCATTGGGTGAACAGAAAGAGCTGGGAGGCAGTTTCAGTGATATTTCTTTAAAGTAAGTTTTTCTTTTTCTCTCGCTCTTTACCTTTCTTCTTCTTTCTCTCCATCTCTCTCTTGCTGTCTCTCCATCCTCATTCCTCATCTAAAACGATTCAGGAAAGAGATGGCGACATTCAATCTTTCTGTCACTGGAGATGTTTTAGAAAATCTGAATTATTGGAATAAAATATTGAATGATTGTGGTTTTTGTCTTAAACTCTCTCTCTCTCTCTCTGTCTCTCTGGGTTTTTATTTGGGGGGGGAGGGGTTGGTCTTGGGGCTTGGACTCAGGGCCCATGCACTGTCACCTGAGCTGTTTTTGCTCAAGGCTAACACTCTACACTTTGAGCCACAGCTCTACTTCCAGTTTTTGAATGGTTAATTGCAGATAAGAGTCTCATGGCCTTTCCTATCCAGGCTGGCTTTGAACTGTGATCCTTAGATCTCAGCCTCCTGAGTAGCTAAGATTACACATGTCAGCAACTAGCACCTCATTCTCTCTCTCTCTCTCCCTCTCTCTCTTTCTTTCTCTCTCTCTCTCTCTCTCTCTCTCTCTCTCTCCCACTCTATCTCTCTCTGTATGATGGAAAGCTTTGCAAAAGTCTTCTTAGATGGAAAAACAAACCTAAGGCTGAAAACAATGTATTTGCATATATTTATAGCTCCTCTTTTGTCTGAAGGGCTTTCATGTTTTGGACGTAAATATGGCAACAGCAGTGTGGTTGATCCAACAGAATTATGGTAAACTTTATAGAGGATTTAGAAAGTGAGAAGATGTAAAGGCAGGTTTGAAGGAGGAGAAGAAAATGATGGTCTTTTCTTGCTAAGGCATCCAATGTTTAACTCCCTATATTTTTATATTCCAACAAGCGTGGATCTCCTTGGCCCAGGAAATCCAGCAGGTCAGCGGTGCTTCAGCTAGGCTGCAAGTCAATGTTTGATTGTCTCTGCGTGGAATGAGAGAAAATGCTAAGCAAATATTTACACACATTGCACCAAAAGGACATTTTTTAAAAAAATATGCATTATGGGGTGGGGTGGAGGGTGGGGAGGGTAGTCGTGGAGATGGGAGGGAAGGGATGGTAGGGGAAAAACAGAGAAGGAGGCAACAATGCTTGATAAGAAATGTACCTTGCTCGTGTAACTGTAACCCCTCTGTACAGTATTTTCACAATAAAAAAAACTTATTTAAAAAATGCATTACAGCCGGGCGCTGGTGGCTCACGCCTGTAATCCTAGCTACTCAGGAGGCTGAGATCTGAGGATCACGGTTCAAAGCCAGCCCGGGCAGGAGAGACCGTGAGACTCCTATCTCCAATAAACCACCAGAAAACCAGAAGTGGCGCTGTAGCTCAAGTGGTAGAGCGCTCGCCTTGAGCTGAAGAGCTGAGGGACAGCGCCCAGGCCCAGAGTTCAAGCCCCACGGCAGACAAAAAAAAAAAAAAAATGCATTACAAATGAATTAGTCAGTTGACCTCACGTTGCTTGACTACAAGTGCTTTCTTTCTCTTGGATTGTCACATTGCCTATGAATGCTTTCCCTTTGTATCTAAGGAGGACTCCTAAGGATGGGTGTATGGATAGCTTCATGCTGCCTCTCGTGTCTCCTGTGGATGTGGAAGGTCCCTGTCCCTCTCTCCATCGAGGCTGCAAAGACCAAACCCAGTTGCTCTGTTCTGATTTGGCTGTTTTCCAAAATTAGACTTATCTCCTTCCACGAGGTAGTGCCTGCTCGCTCAGGCCGGCACTGGAAGCAGAACTTGGGCTGTCCTGGAGATGGAGCCTAGAGCTGAGCTGTTAGAAGCAGTGTAAATGTGTGTTCAGGCCTTAGAGGTCAAGGCTGAGGCCCGGTGTCGAGTTTGGTACTTCCAGAGCGTGTAAGCCTTACCTTCTCACAATATGGAGTCAAGTCCAAGACTTGACTTTTTTTTTTTTTTCGGTTGGTCGTAGGGCTTGAACTCTGGGCCTGGGCGCTGTTCCTCAGCTCTTCAGCTCAAGGCAAGCGCTCTACCACTTGAGCCACAGCACCACTTCCTTTTTTTTTTTTTTTTTTTTTTTTTTGTGGTTCATTGGAGATAAGAGTCTCATGGAGCTGGGTGCCAGTGGCTCACACCTGTCATCCTAGTTACTCAGGAGGCTGAGATCTGAGGATCGCAGTTCAAAGCCAGCCCAGGCAGGAAAGTCCGTGAGACTCTTGTCTCCAATAAGCCACTAGAAAACTGGAAGTGGTGCTGTGGCTCAAGCGGTAGAGCGCTCGCCTTGAGCTGAAGAGCTGAGTGACAGCGCCCAAGCCCAGAGTTCAAGCCCCACGACCAACCAAAAACAAAAAAGACTCGTGGCTTTTCCTGCCTGGGCTGGCTTTGAACGGTGATCCTCAGATCTCAGCCTCCTGAGTAGCTAAGATGACAGGTGTGAGCCACCAGCACCCAGCGAGAGCTTTATTTAAAAACAACAACAACAACAACAAAACCTCAAAGGATAAACATATGGATGGTTTTTGCTATTTTTGTTTCAGGGTCGAGATCTGGACTATAAAATTCAGGAATATAAAGAAGCTGGTAAAGTCTTTCCAGAAAATCAGGTAGTAGAATGGTTCATCCAGCTGCTGCTAGGAGTAGACTACATGCATGAGAGGTAGGTTCACTTCTAGGAACAAGATGAAATGGGTGCTGGGAAGGTGGCTCAGTGGTAGAGCACTTGCCTTGCATGCATGGGGCCCTGGGTTCAATTCGGAAAAGCCAGAAGTGACACTGAGGCTCAAGTGGTATAATGTCACCTTGAGCTGAAGAGCTGAGGGGCAGCGCCCAGGCCCAGAGTTCAGGCCCTATGACTGGCCAAAGAAAAAGATGACAGGAGGAGGGACTTGTCACACACACAAACTTTTTTTTTTTTTTTTTTTTGCTGCCTCAGTGCTCTGGCTGGAACAGCTCATTTACATACAGGCTCCGCCAGCTCACAGGCCTTCAGATTCAGGTTAAATCACATCATTGCTTTCCTGGGCCTCTAGCCTCACAGAAGGAAGATCATGAGGCTTCTCAGCCTTCAATATCGCATGAGCTAATTCTCAGTAATAAAGTATATATATATGTGTATATGTGTATATATATGTGTGTGTATGTGTGTGTTTGTGTGTATATATATATATATGTATGTATCTCAGATCTGTTTTTTCTGGAGCCCTTACTAAAGCAGTATGCTAAGAGAGAAGATAAAGACAACCATGGGAAAGCTAAGAGGAGCCAGGTTACAGAAGGGTGGAAAATTTCCACTGGCTCCTATGGAGCTTGCCTGTACTTGTTTAATTTTTTTATTTTAATTTAGAATAAATCTACAGCATATGGCACTGGTATATAAATAATGCCATTAAAAGCTGAAAACATCCACCGATCATTCAAAGCTATCTTGAGCGTGTTGCACAAAAATTCACTCCCGTTGGAGAGGTGAGGGGTTCATTTGCCTCAGTGTTAGAGGACTGAGCAACCTCTTTCAGTGAGCTCAACTTCGCCTGGCCCACAGAAATAGCTACAGCATGTCCTCTTTTCTACCTGCTCCCAACCCTCTCTGTGAGTGATGGTTGATGGGTGAACCATTTTGCATATTAGCATGTATACTAGTTAAATTTTGATTTAAATTTTTAAAAACTTAAATTTTCACGAAGTCATTTACCCTTTCCTGTCTCCTGCAGGAGAATACTACATCGAGACTTGAAGTCAAAGAATATATTTCTGAAAAATAACCTCCTTAAAATTGGTAAGACTTTTTAAACAAAAAAAACAGGTACTGAAAGATTAAATAAAAGATTATTAGACTTTGCCAGAGAACTACTCAGACCTCCAGGTACAGAGAACAAAGAAAGGTTTATTGCCAGGAAAGGGAGCCGACAAGACTCCTTCTCACAAGGGAGAACTGAGCAGAAACACCGGCTATTGTCTGAGGGGCCCTGTATAACCTAGGAAGTTTAGGAGAGGCTAGAAGGGGCTAGGAGGCAGAGACCCCCGTGTGGATATGTGGGTCAGGGGCGTCATCATGGTGGACTAGGAGTTAAAGCTGCTATCCAAATAGTAGATAAGGGGTCCTGCAGCTGCCTAGACCTGAAGGTCACTCTAAGGGGTTCTTGTTGCCTTATATGGTGGTAGCTGCCCCAGAGAAGCCCCATCCCAAGTTAAAGGGGGTTGGAAGTTGATTATTTACTGCCTTTACTACATGGCTAGTGTTGCCTAAGAAGGGAACACGCTAAGCTGTGGAGGAGGGAAGGAGTAGACTAAGCTATGGTTGCTAACAGGTACTCCAAAGCCATAGATGAGAATATCCTCGATGTTCTCCTGTCAAGTTGAAGCTGGCGGTTCATGGAAGTGTGAGAGTAATCACTGGTTTCTTTCAGCTTCCCAAGTTTTTTGCCCTGATCTGGATGGGCCCCTCAAAACCCAAACCCAATCATTTTGTTTCTGATCGTCCGATATAAATGGAGTCTTAAAAACATTGGCTGTGTGCTTGGTTGATTTCCAAGTAGCCTCTGAGTTCCTGCTCTCTTGCCAGGTCTCTGCAAGCGAAGGGACTTGTTTCACTAGCTTGCTTGAAGGTTTCTCACTTGCTTTATCAGACTACAAGAAGTTGTCTCACACCATTTAAACACTGGTGTAATAGTTCCTGAGAACTCTGAGTGCCCCCTCGGGTGGTCTTAGGGAATGAAGGAATAAAAACATACCACTAATTGGGCAAAAGTAGGGCAATTGATGTACTCAAATTTTTATATTTATGCTCTTGAATAGATTCTGGTCTTTTTTTTTTTTTTCTCTGATCCTGGAGCTTGAACTCAGCGCCTGGGCACTGTCTCTGAGATGCTTTTTTTGCTCAAGGCTAGCACTCTACCACTTGAGCCACAGCGCCAGGGCACTGTCTCTGAGATGCTTTTTTTGCTCAAGGCTAGCACTCTACCACTTGAGCCACAGCGCCACTTCCGCCACTTCTGGCTTTTTCTGAGTAGTTTATTGGAGATAAAAGTCTCACAGTTTCCTACATGGGCTGGCTTCAAACTATGATCCTCAGATTTCAGCCTCCTGAGTAGGTAGGATGACAGGTGTGAGCCACTAATGCCTGGCAGGTTCAGGTATTTCATTGACTTGTTCCTTTACTATGAACAAAGATTATAATTAACTAAGATCAACTAAGATAAAATTGTGCATCATCTTCAAGCCTTCCATAAGCACTGCTTACTCTTATCAGATTTGAAATACTTAATATCGGGTTGCCTAGTTCTCCCTGATTCCAGAAATAAAGAATTTTAGTTTATGTAATTTACTTTTCCTGGCTAAAAATCCCCCTTTTTTTTTTTAATTCCCTATAAAACTTATGTTTCTAAAGCTGTTTACCAGTGTTGTACAATTTAAAATAACACTTTGCCTTTCCTTCAAAACGGTATTACATAATAAACAGTCCCAAATTAGGCCATCTTCAGTGGTTATTTTCAGCCCTTGACAGTTGTTGTTTTAAAGCACTCATGGAGATTAATTGTTGTTTCCAGGGGACTTTGGAGTTTCTCGGCTCCTGATGGGCTCCTGTGACCTGGCCACAACTCTAACCGGAACCCCCCATTACATGAGTCCTGAGGCCCTGACACACCAAGGCTACGACACCAAGTCCGACATCTGGTAAGCGGCTTTGGCTCACTGGTCCACTCCACCCATTTGACATTTCAAGTCACTCTGTGGCCAGAGTTAAAGGTCTTTGCATTTGGAACTTGCTCTATCCCATTAAATTCATTTAAAAAATTCTCTTTATTCATAGATTAATTGGTTGGTTTGGATTTTTTTTTAGAGCCACAGGGGAAAGCTCTTAATGTACCAGAGGCATTAAATTTTGATATGTGGCTGCTTAACCTATTAAATAAAGCATCTGTAACCCTAAAGACAGCACTTCGTTTTATTCCCAAGGCTAAACCTTGCAGCTCTGTGGGGGGAACAGGCAGTTAGTTCCTCTGCACATTCTTCTTACCATTACTTTTAGGAATTGAACGACAGAGCCTGGCTTTATGGATACCATGAAGTTTAGGACTCTGGGTTGCCAGTGGTAGCTACGTGTGTGATTTCTTAGTTTCTCTGAGCTCTTGAGCTAGTGTAAATCACCACAGACCCCATGTAGAGAATTGGCCCCGGACATCCTATTACGAGCAGCAAGTCCTACGGGGGCTAAGGGTGCAGGGAATGTTTCTTTGAAGAGGAATCTTACGTAATGTTCAGCCTTGAAGGGAGGGAAAGGACAATCTAGCGGAGAACTTGTTAATTAAGTAAATAATTATTGTATGCAAATCCGTGCTAAGTAGTTTCTGAGCTCTCAAAAGAAGAGCACTGTGAAAGATGTGCCCACTTCATGGTCTTAGAGACGCCGAAGGGAGAACGTTGCCTTTTCCATAGTTAGGAATAAGTGAGTCACCCCAGGGAGCTGGCCTGGTAGTTCCTAGGAAACCGAGGCAGTGGACCGCAGGAGTCAGAATGAAGAGAAGAGTCTTTGTTGTGTCCGGGCTACTTCTGTCTTACAAACAGCTTCTGCAACCCGCAAGGAGACTTGTAGAAATATCAGCTGTAGTGCTGTGATATTTTACAGTTACAAAAATATCTGACAAACACAAAACATAAAAAAGCCCAAACCTCCCCAATATAAAAATAGGATTTTTTAAATATATCTGTCCAGGCATTAAGTCACCTCCCTTGGCAGTGATTATTAACACTTCAGCAAGCACAAGCTGAGGACCTCCCTCCCCCAGAACCACCACCTCATTATGAACTGAGTATTTTACTTTGGTCCTATCTAAAGTCAGAAACAGCTTAGCTGATAATGGAATTTGTCCTACCAAACCAAAAGTGGAAACAATAACAGAACTATTAATTATATTGGCAGTTTAGAAGTGTGATGAGCAATCTTAGGAAGACACTTAGGAAAATGAGATTGAATGAGGATGAGAACCATGGCTGTGCTTTAGCGTGGTAGGTATTTTCAAAGCACTGGAAACACATGAATAATTTATAGCTGTTTTGCGTTCGCACTGATAGCTGTGCATGTTATATTTATAACGCTTAAAGAAGAACTGGTCTAACACTAATTACATTTTCATGTATTAATGTTCGCCTATGTGTAGCCTTACCTCCCTTCAGTAATTTGTGAAACCTATCTGGATTCAGTTATTTATAGTATTCATGTATATGAAAATCTCTCCCTGAAGGGAGTTAGGTCCCAAAAGTTAATAAACAGTTATTTGGAAAGTTAGGATAATTAGGTTCACTGAAAAAAAATATTCTTTCAACACAGCTGATTTGTATATGTAATTACCAAATAATTTTTTTTCTCCACAGGAGAAATAAAAATACAATTGAGGCTGGGAAGGTGGCTCAGTGGTAGAGCGCTTGCCTTGCATGCCTGAGGCCCTGGGTTCGATTCCCCAGCACCACATAAGCAAAAAAGAAAAAAGCCGGAAGTGGCGCTGTGGCTCAAGTGGTAGAGCGCTAGCCTTGAGCTGGAGAGCTGAGGGACAGCACCCAGGCCCAGAGTTCAGGCCCCACAACTGGATCTCCCCCTCCCCCCCCAAAAAAAAAGAAATATAAATACAAGGTTGAGTTCTTAGTTCAGCACTTTAAATTGATTTAAAGCACACATAGTTAGAATTTACTGTTTGTATGAAGAAGGAATAAAGGACAGTGTGATTGGAATAATGATACTGTAAGTACACGGACCATTCACGGTTGGCCTCATTTATCTTGAGAAGTGAACTAGATTACTCTTGGATCTGTGGCCCTGTATCCTTATTGTTAAGTGGAGGTGATGGTGGCAGGAAACTGGGAGTGGGGAGGATGAGAGTTCCAGGATGGAAGTTGGCCAGGGGGTGGGGACTTGGGAAGAGTCTAGTTCATGCCCAGTGCTTTAGTATCTTGGACGGAAGCATCTTAGTTTCAGGCAGAAGGTGACAGAGAGGAACTAGCACCTGCCTGGCATTTACAGGACGAAGAAAGTATCCCCACTAGAGAACCCTTCTGGGAAGAGAGATGATTGAAAGAGAGAGGGAAGGTTAGAAGGGGCACAGAAGAAATCTTTCTGGTGAAAGATGCAGGAAAAGGTTAAATACAGGCAGCAGCACCTGTCATTAAAATGGGATATGCTCGTAGCAGACAGCCAACAGCCTCCTTAGCTGTTGGTGATGGAAGTTCTAGAATAAGAGAGCCAGTGCCTCTCAGTTTCCTTTGACCCCAGAAGTTCTGTGTGGGCCCAGGAGGTCATGTCTTCTCAGGAATCAGAGTTGGTGTAATTATTTTCACCCAACAGAAACTAACATAGGAAAACATCATATAAAGTATGATGTGAGTATGTACTCTGTTTTTGCAATGACACCAGCATGAATGACTCAGAGAAACACTGCAGGTAATACCAGTGTGGCCTGATGAATTTTAAAGTAGTTCATCACACAGCTAATAAATTCTTTTTAAATCGATATTGATGATAGAAATAAGTACAACAGGAGTCGCTCGGCTTTATGGAGTGCATACTCTGATTAATTGATAAATAATGGGCTAAATGCTTTACCTATCTGTTGGCAGCTACAAAAATGATACTCCTTGCAATCTTTTAAGCTCTTTTTTTTGGTGCTGTCCCTCAGCTCTTCAGCTCAAGGCTAACGCTATACCACTTGAGCCACAGCACCATGTCTGATTTTCTGAGTGGTTTATTGGAGATAAGAGTCTCAAGAATGTTATTTCGGGGGGCTGGCTTTGAACAGTGATCCTCATATCTCAGCCTCCTGAGTAGCTAGGATTGTGGGCATGAGCCGCCGGCCCTCCTCGCCCCCCCCCCCCCAGCTTTATGCTTTTTAAATTTTTATTTATTTTTTATTTACTTATTTTTTTGGGGGGGTCCGGTCGTGGGGCCTGAACTCTGGGCCTGGGCCCTGTCCCTCAGATCTTCAGCTCAAGGCTAGCACTCTACCACTTGAGCCACTGGGCCACTTCCGGCTTTTTTTCTTTTTGCTTATGTGGTGCTGGGGAATTGAACCCAGGGCCTCATGCATGCAAGGCAAGCGCTCTACCACTCAGCCACCTTCCCAGCCCCTTATGCTTTTTTTATTTTTTTATTTTTTTGGGTCCGGTTGTGTGGCCTGAACTCTGGGCCTGGGTGCTGTCCCTCAGCTCTTCAGCTCAAGGCTAGCGCTCTACCACTTGAGCCACCACGCCACTTCCGGCTTTTTTCTTTTTTCTTATGTGGTGCTGGGGAATCGAACCCAGGGCCTCATGCATTGCAAGGCAAGCGCTCTACCACTGAGCCACCTTCCCAGCCCCTTATGCTTTTTTTAAAAAGCACAATATAATATTGTTTGCTTCAACAGCTATGTAACTATATACCATTTAAAACTTGGATACAATGTATTCAACCAAGGTTTTACTGCTTTATTTGATATTTTTCTCTTCTTTCACCATTTTCCTACAAACTACCTAGGAGTGTAATTTCATTTCTTCAACTTGAAGTTAGTTGAGCTTCTTGGATGTATAAATGAATGTATTTCATTGAAGTTAGTTGAGCTTCTTGGATGTATAAATGAATGTATTTCATCGAACTCAGGGAGTTTTCTGCCATTATTTCTTTGATTATTTTTTTTATCCCTTTCTCTTCTCCTGGTGCCCAATTCTCTGAGACTCTATTCAGGTTCCTCTTTGTTCTTTAGATTGGGGAGGGAAATGCTTCAGTGCAAGGAGCAGTCAATTTCCCAGGGAAATGGTCTTATAAGGACATCAGGCTGGGCCATAGAAGCAGACTGGCTGGGTGCCAGTCCCTCATGCCTGTCATCCTAGCTACTCAGGAGGCTGAGATCTGAGGATCACAGACAGTTCAAAGCCAGCCTGATCAGGATAGTCCACGAGACATTGATCTCCAATAAACTACTCAGGAAAAGGCCAGAAGTGGCGCTGTTGGCTCAAGTGGTAGAGTGCTAGCCTAGAGGAGCTAGAGGAGCAGCTCAGGGACAGTGCCCAGACCCAGAGTTCAAGCCCCAGGACTGGCAAAAAGAGAGAGAGAGAGACAGAGAGGGAGGGAGGGAGGGAGGGCGGAAGAAGAAGGAGGAGGAGGAGGATGAAGAGGAGGAGGAGGAGGAGACAGAGAAGGAGAAGGAGGAGGAGAAGGAGAAGAAGAAAGCAGATTAGAAGGGGAAAGGTTGGAGTAGACTAAAAAAAGGAGAGAAGTAGAGCTTCTATCAGTGCAGGTCCATTCTTTTACTTCTGATGTTCTTCTCCAGAGACTGTACAGTGATCGAAGCAGGAGGGAGATTACCATTTGCCAAAGTGTGAAGCAGTGGAGGCTTTGGCCATACCCGGGGCTGAGGGGTTAACAGTCTAGAAAGGACTGGTATCTTGAATGATCACCTGTTCACCCAAAGACAGTGCCACCAGACCTCATGGTTGGTGTAGAATTCTTGACCAAGGCCTCAGGAACATGAAAGGATGCAAAAATACTTTCTCCTCTAGCTAGCTTCTCCCCTCTGCTACATGTCCTTGTTTTTCCCTGGTGTTAGTCTCTTCCTTCCATTGGTCAGATCTTACTGTGTAGAGGAGACAGGCTGACCAGAGGGACGGGGAATGAGGAGCTCATCTTCCTTTGACCAGAAAACTTGGATTGTGGAAGAAAGTCATTAGAAGAGCTGGTACGTGGGGGCTGGGAAGGTGGCTCAGTGGTAGAGTGCTTGGCTCGCATGCATGAGGCCCTGGGTTCGATTCCTCAGTACCACATAAGCAGAAAAAGCCAGAAGTGGCGCTGTGGCTCAAGTGGTAGAGCGCTTGCCTTCTTGAGCTGAAGAGCTGAGGCCCAGAGTTCAAGCCCCACCACACACACACACACACACAGAAGAGCTGGTATGTAAAGAGAAGATTCACCCAAGCTCTGTTTTTCTATAACTTTATCTGGTGGAGGGATGAATTCACTCTTCCTTTTAAAACTTTATTTTCTTAAGGCTGTAGAGCAAACCAGCACCCCCCCCCTTCTCCCCAACCCCCTACCCCCCTGCCCCCCAGGGCTGGTTGGCTGCCCACAGCTGTCTGCCAGTATTGATCATTTTGAATGGCCTGGACGTATGTGTGTGTGTGGGGGGATTATGTTATAAATAATGTCAGAATGGCCCTTGGCAGGACAGAGGTCCCCTTCGCTTTCTCCCTCAGCCACACCAGCCACATTTCAAGTGTGCAGGAGCTCCCCGGGACTATTGGTTATTATTTCCAGAAACAGAGAACGTCTTCATCAGTGCGGAAGACTCCACTCGACAGCCCCGAATTACCGCATCTCAGCTGCGTCGTCGGGGTTTGCCTTCATTCCCAGAGTCGCCCTCACCCTGCACTGAGGCTGGACAGAACCCCCACTCTTTCCCCCCCTCTCCCCCCCCCCCCCCCGTTCCCCCAGCTGGGATCAGCTGCGAGCTTCCGGCTTCCATGCTGTCCAGCTAAGTTGAGAATCCTCTTGTTTCAGGGCCCAGCTGTTTCAGGGCGCACACTGCGCAGGCGTGCAGCCCTGCTGTCCACCCAGCCTACTTCACTCTGAAGCCCCCAAAAGGCTCCTGATCACTTCACTTTGTGGAAGATACCAGATCCGGGTTTTTTAGTTTTCCTGTCCAGATTCTCTTGACGACACAGAAATTCAAGCAGGGTTCCCCCAGACTGAGTTTTCAGTGTGTCTGCCATCCGCCCCCGCCCCCCCGCAGCCCCTTCCCACCCCAATGCTCAGAATGAAAGTTTGAGAAACATGTAATACGTTTCCATCTGTGTCAGTGCACTGTGTCATGTTGTGGGACAGGAGAGGTCATTAAACAGTTGCTGTATCCTTTTACTGCTGAAGAGTTTAAAGCAATCAATGTGTGTTGGTCACATTTGTGTTAACCATTTGATTATATTCAGACAGACTTCATGTTCTATCTAATTTTTTTATTGTTATCTCTAAGTCGCTGTACAAAGGAGTTGTCATTTAACAAAGCGGTCTATGAACGCAGTGTATCTTGAACACTGTCACCCCGTTCGATATCCCTCACTCTTCTTAAAAACTACTCAGTTCTTAAGTAAGACTTTCATTTAGGGTATTACACATTAAAGCAAAACCCACTCCACTTGGATTAATTTCTTTTTTCTTTCTCTCTCTGTTTAACTGTCTAAGTCATGGGGACTTTGGAAAGTGAGGGAATCAGTATATTTCTCAATCGCATCAAGTAAAAAACATTACATAGGAGATATTAAAACTGCCCAATAACCCAGCGTCCAAGTCTACTGTGGGGGTATCTTCTGTTTGCAGGCTCTGGGCAGATTTCAAAGGTTGGATATAGTAGCTACATTGAGAAGAGACAAAGTCCAAGTTACATTTGCAATTCATTATCCACCTGTACTTTGAAAATCCTCTAGGTAATTTTGGTCAGACTATGGCAGATGGCAAGTTTATGGACTCTGGGTATAATTTGCCTCACAAGCACCTGCTCCCTGCTCTCGCTTTCGTAATTACAGCAGGTTCCTCAGGAATATACTTGCTTAACTCTTCCAAGCTGGCAGTATTTTGGGAAGAGAAAGGAATGCAAATCACTGACTTCTAAGAAAAAAAAAAATTTTTGCTTTTAGCTCTACCCACTGCTTCAGCTACTCCTACCCTGTGCTCTTGCTCCTGATCCATCAGGTTTAAAAACCTGCATGCCAACTAAGAGAAAAATTGTTCAAAAGATGGAAGTTCGGAATTACAGATCGTGTAATAATTCCCATATAGAAATTTCTAGTCGGGAGCCGGGCACTGGTGGCTCACGCCTGTCATCCTAGCTACTCAGGAGGCTGAGATCTGAGGATCGCGGTTCAAAGCCAGCCCGGGCAGGAGAGACCATGAGACTCCTATCTCCAATAAACCACCAGAAAACAGGAAGTGGCGCTGTAGCTCAAGTGGTAGAGTGCTTGCCTTGAGCTGAAGAGCTGAGGGACAGCAACCAGGCCCAGAGTTCAAGCCCCACGACTGACAAAAAAAAAAAAAAATTTCTAGTCGGAAACTGAACAGAAGAATAGATGTACAAGCCGGGCGCCGGTGGCTCACGCCTGTCATCCTAGCTACTCAGGAGGCTGAGATTTGAGGAGCGAGGTTCAAAGCCAGCCTGGGCAAGGAAAGTCCGTGAGACTCTTATCTCCAATAAACCACTAGAAAACCAGAAGTGGTGCTGTGGCTCAAGCGGTAGAGCGCTCGCCTTGAGCTAAAGAGCTGAGGGACAGCGCCCAGGCCCAGAGTTCAGGCCCCACATCCGGACCCCCCCCCCCCAAAAAAAAAAGAAAAAAGAAAAAAAATCCATCATGCTGAGTGTCACAGTGGTTTCTGTAACTGACTTATGCCCAGGCCATGAGTGTCCAGGGCAGGCAGGTACACTTCTGGGCTGGTAACTGAAGGCTCCTTGTTCTTAGGCATAAGCCAATATCAAGTAGATGAAATTAGGACTAGAAGGAGAGGAACAGCCTGTTTGCAGTGCAGCCTTGAGAATTTCCAAAAAGAAGTCACATCCAAGTGATCTGGTTCCCGAATCAGCCTCTAGATCCAATTGTTTCACAGTCTGTTATGCAAGATAGTCACACATTTTTATAACCCCTAATAAATTCATCTAATGTGGCTTATCACTATATGCTATAAGACCACAAGTTGATTTAGTGATCAGTTTTACTTTATTTTTTGTTTGCTCTTTGTTTTTTTGTTTTATATATATATATATATATAATATTTATTTATTTGTTGGTTTGTTTATTCATTTATTGTTGGTCATGGGGCCTGAACTCTGGGCCTGGGCACTGTCCCTCAGCTCTTCAGCTCAAGGCTAGAGTTCTACCACTTGAGCCACAACACCACTTCCAGCTTTTTCTGTGTCTGTGGTACTGAGGAATCGAACCCAGGGCCTCATACATGCTAGAAAAGCACTCTACCACTGAGCCACCTTCCCAGCCTCTTTTTTTTTTTTTGGTCAGTTGTGGGGCTTGAACTGTGGGCTTAGGCGCTGTCCCTACGCTCTTCAGCTCAAGGCGAGCGCTCTACCACTTGAGCCACAGCACCACTTCTGGTTTTCTAGTGGTTTATTGGAGATAAAAGTCTCACGGAGTTTCCTGCCCAGGTTGGCTTTGAACTGCGATCCTCAGATCTTAGCCTCCTGAGTAGCTAGGACTACAGTCTTGAGCCACCGGCACCTTCTGCTTGCCAGGCAAGCACTCGTTCACTTGATCCATACCTCTATCCTTCTTGTTTCTTTGATGTTGAGTGTTGAACAAATAGTTTCATTCAAAATTTCTTTTAGGGCCTGGAAAGGTGGCTCAGTGGTAGAGCGCTTGCCCCACATGCATGAGGCCCTGGGTCCGATTCCTTTGCACCACACAAGCAGGAAAAAGCCAGAAGTGGCGCTGTGGTTCTAGTGGTAGGGTGCTAGCCTTGAGCTGAAGAGCTGAGAGACAGCGCCCAGGCCCAGAGTTCAGCCCCAACAACCGCCAAAAAAAAAAAATAAAAAATTAAATTTTATAGTCTTGACAAGGATATGCAAAGGGAAATGAGCCAAGCACAGGAAGACAGATTCCCCATGTTCTAAAGTGCTAATCTCCCAGGAAAGGGAAGTAGAGCAGTGATTGCTAGGGGCTAAGGAAGGGGAGGGGATGGGAAGGATGAGGGAAGTTAGGAGAGGCACCAAAGTGCAGTGAAGTAGGAGGTGTATGTTCAAGTCTTCTACGGCACAGGAGGGTCATTGCAGCTTTCAACTTCTTACATGCTTTTACAGAGAACTACAAGTGTTCACGAGCTCCAATCACAAATGATAAATGCTTAAGATGGAAATGCAGACAACTCTGATTTGATTATTACGTATCGCATACATATACTGCATTATCGCTCGGTACCCCAGAAATAAGTAATTAGATGTGCCAATTTAAAATGATTAATTTCTTTATTGTTACCGAGGATTGAACTCAGAGCCTCATGTTTGCAAGACATGCACGTGTTTTACCACTTGAGCCACACCTCCAACCCCTATCAACAATTTTCTTTCTACACAACTTGTGTGTGTGTGTGTGTGTGTGTGCGTGCGCGCGTGAGTGTGTGTGTGGCCAGTATTTTGGCTTGAAGTCAGGGGATGCTGTACCTGAGCATTTTTGCTCAAGGCTACTGTTCTACCACTTGAGTCACAGCTCCATTTCCAACTTTTTGGTGATTAAAGAGTCTTACAGACTTTTCCTGCCCAGGCTGGCTTCAAACTGCTATCCTTATATCTCAGTCTCCTACTTAGCTATGATTATGGGTGTGAACTACTGGTGCCTGGCTGAAACTGCAGTTTTTAAACCACTGAAATACATGTTATCTCTCAAAGCCAACACCTCTGAGATTGGTATGATGACCATATTTAAAAAGAGATTTGTTTCTTCCTTAAAATCTTTGATATTTGTCTGCAGGTCATTGGCATGCATTTTATACGAGATATGTTGCCTCAGTCACGCATTTACTGGCTCCAATTTCTTGTCTATCATCTTAAAAATTGTGGAAGGAGACACCCCTTCTCTCCCTGAGAGATACCCAAGGGAACTCAACTCCATCATGGAAAGGTAGGGAAACCAATCTGTTGTCATGAGAAACCATTTTATATCACGTTATTGTGTTTAAATGAACTTAGGCCTTCGTTCATCTGAACAAGTAATTTTCTTTTGACCATTACAGCATGTTGAACAAGAGTCCTTCGTTGAGACCATCTGCTATAGAAATTTTAAAAGTTCCTTACATCGATGAGTATTTAAAACACAAGAGATGCCGGGGAAAGGTATTTGTGTTTACATGCATGGAAGGGGAGGGCTCAAGAATCAGTCAGGAGGAGGAGCTGAACTACAAAGTAGCTGAGAGCATCACTAGTCAGGACGGCTTCCGTGCAGAAAGAAGTAGGTGCCTGGACTCAGGTCTCTGGTCCACTGGACATGGGAAATCAGGGATCTGATATGCCCATGCCCACTGTCCACCCTTACTGCTCAGCACTTTGCCGACATATCCTTGCTAGCCCAAGAGCATACTAATATACTACAAGATAACACTAATATACAAATAATACTAAGCACCCAAATATGGGATCTTTTTTTTTTTTTTTTTGGGTCCAGTCGTGGGGCCTGAACTCTGGCCCTGGGCACTGTCCCTCAGCTCTTCAGCTCAAGGCTAGCGCTCTACTACTTGAGCCACAGTGCCACTTCCGGCTTTTTTCTTTTTTGCTTATGTGGTGCTGAGGAATCGAACCCAGGGCCTCAGGCATGCAAGGCAAGCGCTCTACCACTGAGCCACCTTCCCAGCCAAATATGGGATCTTTCAGCGAGCATTTTTTTCTAATCTGTTTATGCTTACCAAGACTTTTCGTTGATAAAGTGAGTTTTTATTTCACTTTCCCTTGGATTAGAAATTTTTATCTAGAGGAAGAAGCCAATGGTCCTCTCTCTTGAGAGCTTTTTCTTTTCTTTTCTTTTCTTTTTGTCAGTCATGGGGCTTGAACTCTGGGCCTGGGCGCTGTCCATCAGCCCTTCCACTCAAGGCGAGCGCTCTCCCACTTGAGCCACAGCGCCACTTCCGGTCTTCTGGTGGTTCATTGGAGATAGGAGCCTCACAGACTTTCTTGCCGGGCTGGCTTTGAACCTCGCTCCTCAAATCTCAGCCTCCTGAGTAGCTAGGATGACAGGCGTGAGCCACCAGCGCCGGCTTTTTTTTTTTTCTTTTAACTTCTCCATCAATTAGAATTCTGATCTCTCAGGTTCTCTACCATTTGAACCATGTCCCAAATCCTCCTTGTGCATTGGTTATTTTCAAGGTAGGGTCTGACTTTGTACACCAGCCATTTGGTCTGTCGTCTTCCTACTGGTGCCTCCATATACGTGCAGGAGTTAAGTGGCATACCACTGTACCCGTGCTTCCCCACAGCTGAGATGGCAGCTGCCCAGCCACTGGCAGAGATGGGAGTCTCATGAACCCCTTTTTATCTGGGCCAGCCTGAACCATGATCCCCTGATCACCACCTCCTAGGTAGCAGGGATTATAGGTTTGAGCCACCATGTCTGACTAAACTTCTGATATTGTATTGTTCATGCATTGACCTTTTGACATTGACGCTGATCTTTAAAATAATAGTCAGTTGCCAGCCGCCGGTGGCTCACTCCTGTCATCCTAGTTACTCAGGAGGCTGAGATCTGAAGATCACAGTTCAAAGACAGCCGGGGCAGGAAAGTCCGTGAGCCTCTGATCTCCAATAAACCACTCAGAAAACCAGAAGTGGTGCTGTGACTCAAGTGGTAGAGCGCTCGCCTTGAGCTGAAGAGCTAAGGGACAGCGCCCAGGCCCAGAGTTCAAGCCCCATGACTGACAATAAACAAACAAATAAATACATAAATAAAATAATGAAAAATAGTCGATTAAAATGTTGACTTGACTACTGATATTTTGGTTATCACCCTTAGATTTTGAGGTGAGTACCTGGGAATTATTAACAGGGGCAGCAGCCCAGATAGCTCCTTTTGAACGGTCACATACAACCATGCAGGCGGTGACCCCAGGACACCCTCGAAGACCAAATCAGTCATTTTGCTGAGGGAACCCTACTTAATTTGTAAAGGGCCCAGAGAAGTCTCTTCCCAGAAGTTCAGGCTCCCGGGGCAGTGAGGGCAAAAGAGGCGCTCTCTACTGGCCGATGTTCAAGACCAAGAAAGCCCAGGCTGGATAATGGAGTGCAAGAGCAAGCAGTACAAGCTGGAACTAGAGCCTCACCTCCAAGGTCTTCCTACATGAGTTATATAACCCTTGGCAGAGGGCGAAATAGATGCTTGGGAGCTTTGTTCACAAGCTGTCTACCGTGGTCGGTGGTACCCCAAAGCAGAAACAACACCTGGCCCTTGCATGGCTGTGCATTGCTGAAGAAGGATTCTTCACGTTTGCCAGGGTTGTGGTTGTTCTTTTCAGCACCTGCTGTGCCGATATTCTGAAATGACTCAAGAAGACATGCCTGTGGATTGTCAGAAGGAGGCTGATCGGATAGTTAGTGCCTTGTAAGTAATTGCTCTGTTAAAAAAAAAAAAAAAGCCAAAAGCCAGGTACTGCTGGTTCACACCTGTAATCCTAGCTACTTAGAAGTCTGAGATCTGAGGATCGTGGTTCAAAGCCAGCCTGGGCAGGAAAGTCCATGAGACTCTTTTTTTTTTTTTTGGGTCCGGTCGTGGGGCTGTCCTCAGCTCAAGGCTAGCACTCTACCACTTGAGCCACAGCGCCACTTCCAGCTTTTTTCTTTTTGTTTATGTGGTGCTGAGGAATCAAACCCAGGGCCTCGAGCATGCAAGGCAAGCGCTCTACCACTGAGCCACCTTCCCAGCCCTCCATGAGACTCTTATCTCCAATAAACCACCAGAAAACCGGAAGTGGTGCTGTGGCTCAAGTGGTAGAGCGCTCATCTTGAGCTGAAGAGCTGAGAGACTGTGCCCAGGCTCAGAGTTGAAGCCCCATGACCAACCAACACCAACAACAAGCCAATTGAGCATGCATGTTAAATGCAACTGTCTTTAAAAAATCTCTTAGGGCTAAGCTGATGACATCATCCTAGGATTCACTTAAGTCTTGCCAAGAAATGAAGACTCATCAGTAATGTGGTTCCAAAGCCGTTTGCCCCATGTGGCAGCAAATTGAAATCAAAAGTTTAAACCACTGCACAGCTTACAGATCTGCAGGGGAGCTCTGCAGTTGCCTTGTAAGTGTATAGAGAAATTAACATCACCAGCGTTCAGTAGCAGTAATGCCAATGATTGTTTCAGCAGAAACGTGAATGGCTTTCCCATATTCTTTAACTGGACAAAGTATCTATGGGAGGAGACTAGCATGAGATCCAGGGACAACTGAAAATAAGTTCACTCTTTACAAACACATACCTTCTTACATCAAAACTAAAGAATATGTGTGTTTGTTTCCCAAAGAGTTATGTCCCAGCCTACCTCCTCTTTCTCCTCATTCAAAATGTTTGTGTTACGACTTGCAAGAGCCAAGAGCCCTACTAGCTTGGTTTGGATCAGACTTGTCCAGCTGTGCAGGTGGTGAGCTGTACAACTCCAGGGATGGCTGCTTTTAAAGATCGGTGCTATGGGCTGGGATGTAGCTCAGTGGCAAAGCACCTGCCTAGCAAGTTCAACATCCTGGGTTTGATTCCCCAGTACCGAAAAAGAAAAGACTCCCCCACCAAAAAAAAAAAAAAGTTAAAAAAAAATAAAGATTGGCCGGCACTGGTGGCTCATGCCTGTCATCCTAGCTACTCAGGAGGCTGAGATCTGAGGATCGTGGTTCAAAGCCAGCCTGGGCAGGAGAGTCCTTGAGACTCTTATCTCCAATAAACCACCAAAAAACCAGAAGTGGCGCTGTGGCTCAAATGGTAGAGTGCTCGCCTGGAGCTGAAGAGCTGAGGGACAGCACCCAGGCCCAGAGTTCAAGCCCCACAACTGACAAAAATAAGAAAGATCGATGCTACAGTTTTGCTAAAGGAGCTCTGTTTAGTCTTGTAAAGATCTAAAGCCGACAGGAGTTCTTCCTCAGAGGTGTGCGAGGCAGCAGAGTAAGAATAGGAGCCTCCACAGGCTGACCTTCAGGGTCAAATAGGCAAGCAGACGCCAGCCCAGCCAAACACGTCCGGTCTTTGTTTTTGTACGAGCTGAAGTTTCATATCCATTGCGCTTTGATGGGCAAAGTTGATGGCAGGCTTCTCATAACCGTTTTCTTGGGTTCCTGTCTCTTCTTTGGAGGAACTGGAATTTCTAGTTTTAATTTTTGCTTTAGTGACTAGAGGTGTGAGAGAACGAGGCTCTCCTATAAGTATCGAGCTGATTTCAGCTATCATTTTTTTTCCCCACGGCAACTGGGAAACCATTTGCCTGGCACTGTTTACAATTAATGGTGTGCTAGAATCCAATAGTTGAGAGGTCATTTCGCATTATGAAATATTGATTCCAATTAGTCATGCTCATCTTCAAGATCCAAGTTGTATATGTTCTTGGAAAATTGTACATCCCATGGAGGACCCAGCCTGGATGGTATTCCAGAGGGATGAGAGCTGCCTACAAAACTGTTTTTCTTTTCTTTTTGGTCCTGGAACCTGAACTCTGGGTCTGGGCGCTGTCCCTCAGCTCTTCAGCTCAAGGCGAATGCTCTACCACTTGAGCCACAGTGCCACTTCCGGCTTTTTCGGCTTATGTGGTGCTGAGGAATCGAACCCAGGGCCTCATGCATGCAAGACAAGGGCTCTACCACTGAGCCACCTTCCCAGCCCCAAACTGTTTTTCTTAAGGAAAGAGTTGAATACAAAAGGTGTCATGTAATATTGGGCCACGGCAGAAGCAAGTATCATCAAGAATGTGCCTTTCAGTACTTGGCTGTTTCTTTAGCTGAAAGAGAGGTTCATTTGTGATAACACTGGTTAATATTTTGGGAGGCAATGGCCATGTAATTGGCTCTGTTAAAAATCCCTTCTTAATGAAGGAGCTCAGTTTAATGCCAAGGAGCCCAGCTAACTGGGTCCCATTATTTTCATAGTCATTCAGAGGATAAGTAACTTGCTCAAAGACAAACATACAGAGTATAACCTGAGAGCTAAGGATTTGAACCCAGAAAGTGTTACCTTGGTGATTAACCACACCCCATGTTACCATAAAATATCTCTTAGATTAAGACTAGCATGTAAGACATGCAATAAAAATTAGATGTGGCCACATTACCATTTGGAATCGTTTTTATGGGCCAGACACTGGGCCTAGTTTATCTCACATAATACTCACTGTGGCCTAATTCTGTACAGATGAGAAAAACAAGATTCAGTATGTCGGCTAACATTACAGAGCTAATGAGGAGAAGAGGGGAACCCCCCCCCCCCACACACACCCCGTCCATTCCAACATTGTGTTCTTATCCACACTGATGAGTCAGTTGCCAGTCTCTTTGCTCTAATAGCCAGGGTTCTAATTTATCTTACATTATGAAAATCATTCACAGGCATTTGGAAAGCACCTAATTTGCTTTTAAACAAAAATCTCATTTAAAAAAAAATATGGTTGATTAACTGCAGTCCTGGTTGGCTCATTAACTTACCAGCGTTTATTAGTTTTTTTCCCCTCCGGTCTGCTTCAAGATGCTGTTGCTGTCTCGCTAGGGTAATGATACTTGTTTAATTTTTCAGGGCCTATTTGTGATGGGTTGCACATGGGGGAATTCTTTTATTATTTGTAGGCAAAAAAAGATCCACCTGCAGATTCCCCAGGAACTGTCTGACGTGCAGAAAATGACGCTCAGAGAGAGGATGAGGCCAAGGAAGTTCCAGGCAGCCCATGAGAAAGCCAGGAAGCTGAAGTAAGCAGGGTTCTCTAGGAATTCTCTGGAGAAAAGCTACCCTCCCCCTCAACCATGGAAAACTAGAATGCATATGATGATATGTTCATTGATCCACACACTCAAAAGATGATTCCTGCCAGGCTCTGGTGGCTCACGCCTGTCATCCTAGCTACTCAGGAGCCTGAGATCTGAGGATCACGGTTCAAAGCCAGCCGGGCAGGAAAGTTCATAAGACTCTTATCTCCAATGAACCACCAGAAAACCCAAAGTGGTGCTGTGGCTCAAGTGGTAGAGCACTGGCCTTGAGCTGAAGAGCTGAGGGACAACACCCAGACCCATAGTTCAAGCCCCACAACTGGCAAGAAAGAAAGAAAGAAAGAAAGATGGATTTCAAGGGCTGGGAAGGTGGCTCAGTGGTAGAGTGCTTGCTTTGCATGCATGAGGCCCTGGGTTCGATTCCTCAGTACCACATACACAGAAAAAGCTGAAGTGGTGCTGTGGCTTAAGTGGTAGAGTGCTATCCTTGAGCCAGAGAAGCTCAGGGACCATGATCAGGCCCTGAGTTCAAGCCCCAGGACTGGCGCAACAAAAAAAAAGGGGGGGGTGATTTTAGTTCAAATACTGTTCTGACAGATTGTACTTAACCTTTTATGTTCACTTTAAATGTGCAGGAAGATTGTGGAAGAAAATAACAAGCAGATGCAGGAATTGCGGCCCTGGAACTCTGAGCAGCTGAGCATTGATGTAATTGGCGTAAGTGCATAAAACCTGCCCTCGCTTGTGATTCTTCAGGTCTGTGGAGCTGGTTGTGTGGACAAAGAGACAAGGTAGTGAGCAAAGGCATCTGGGCCAACTTGGTTCCTGCCCAGAGAAGACTCTGGACTGTAGATCAGCAGTTGATATTAGTTCAAGGTTGGTTTTATTCATCAAATAAATTGAAAGGCTACTGTGTACAAGGTGATGGCATTGGCATTCGATGCACAGATGATGGGTTAAAATAATGAATCCCCAGAACAAAAGTGTGACCAGTTTTCATTCCACCCAGTCCGCGAATGTTCTTGCCAATTAGTCCACGGATCCCTATCCGTCTCACAGCTATTCTTTTCCCTTTTCTTTTCTGCCTTCCATCTGTATCACCCTGCACTCAGACTCTTAAAAAAAAAACTACTCTAGCTGATAATGAACAGGGTTGCAAGTTCAATAGAAAATGGCCACTTCTTGGTGTTCGTTTTCCCAGACACCTTTTAGGCCCTACTGGGGCAACCCAGGGGTGCCGAGCCTCTGGCTCTGTCTGCTTTGTCCCCGTGGAGCAGAGACTACATAGTCCCATAGGCCAGGAGGCCTAGAGGCTTGTAACGATGCTGTGTTTGTTAATGTGTGCAAACGACACGTTCAGCCAGCGACAGAAACTGGCATGCCTTTGTTCCTCGGGAAGCCTGGATTCTAACTATAGGTCTGTACTTGTTTTATAAAACCTCAATGACTGTCATGTAAATATTATCCATATTCCAGCTATACTGTATGAAGGCCCGTCCTCCTGGTACCCCATAAGTTGGGGTCCTCCGGTGCTCCTGGCAGCATGTTAGGAGACTCACACTCCCCCCCCCCCCCAAAACACACACACACACACACACGGGATAACATCAGAGAAAACACCCTGATCTGCCTCCATCCACTTTAGATGAAGGGAGAATCCCAGGAAGAAACTAGGAAACTTCCATCTCACTACTTCCCCAGTGACTTCCCGATTCCATCCCCTTTCTCTTAGGGGACAGAGCAATGGGGCGGGGTAAGTCGGGGGAGCCATCCAACCTTGTCCTGGCCAGAGACTTTGGTTCATCCTTGAGTGGCCCAAGATTCGTTGCTACACACTGTGGCCCTAAGCTTTCCAGAAGCCTGTCTCTTAACCTTCATCTGCTAACAGGAACAGGAAACGCTCTGGCAGGTGCAGTGCTCGGGCCCCACAGTACTCCTCACGCCTCTCCCACTCCCTGCTCCCTTTTATGCGACCCCTCTGGCCTGTTCCCCCTTGATTGCCTTCCTGAACTCTGAGGCCCACAATCGAGAGCCTCACTTCATATTCTTCCAGCTTACAACAGCAAATCTCAGATCTCTGTCTGTCTGTCTCTCTCTCTTTTGTGCCAGTCCTGGGGCTTGAACTCAGGGCCTGGGAACTGTCCCTGAGCTTCTTTTGCTCAAGGCTAGCACTGTACCACTTGAACCACAGCGCCACTTCCAACCTTTTCTGTGTATATGGTACTGAGGAATCGAACCCAGGGCTTCATGCCTGCTAGGCAGGCACTGTACCACTGAGCCACTTTCCCAGCAGAAAAGCAAATCTCAAAGTTCAAAATGCACTTGGGGTTCTTGTACATTTTGGTCTGATGGGGGTGAGGGCTGGCATTTCTAGCAAGCGAGCTGTCCACTGGTTCTGATGCGTACTCATTCAGGACCATACTCTGATTGATCGTGGATAGAAAGTAGAGTTCTTGAAAGCAGCAGACCCAGAAAAAGCCACCAATGAACAGAGCTTCTTATAATCTCTTTAGGAAGGAAAACCCTTTATGGGAAAGGAGGAAAAAGAGGAGCAGCCTGAAGGAAGACTTTCTTGTTCATCCCAGGAGAAGGGTGAAGAGAGACAGCCAGCCTGGGAAGAGGCAAGTTTAATCGTGTTCACCAGCACAAGAGCGAGTGATTTCATGCTATTCATAGAACAAAAGAGGCAGAAAACAGGAAGGCAAACACTTTGCTGAAGGGCCTAGAGGATGTTAGCATCTCAGGGAAAGGCATTGCTTGAGCTGAAAAAGATGAAATAAAATATAAGAAACAATCTTAATAAGATGCAAGAGAGGAGAAGGAGGAGGAGGAAATGTTCCTCTCCTGCACAGATGGATCATTCATTCTTCCTAATCCCCTTGCGGCTGTGTTCTCAATTCCTCGTTTCTTCTCTCTTGCCCGACTGAGGCAGACCCCTATATATTTCAGAAATACTTAGGACAGATGCAGCGTGAGGGGAGTAAATAGGTTTTATATATATATATACATATATATATATATATATACATATATATACACACTAAACCTGTTTACTATATATATAGCGTATATATACATATGTACTATATATATATATTTTTTAATTGTTGAAGCAAGCTTAGCATGTGGCTTGCCTTGTTTTCCAGTCTTCTGTTTTGGCAGGCGTGTTCTCCTTTGAAATCTTAAAGCACAGTTGAGTGTGGAATCATGTTAGACAACATTTCTCTAACGGGTGATAGCTTAGAAACGACTAGAAACCATAATGTATTAGACAAGCCCAGAGACGGTCTTTTATCCTGCAGTACAGACGGCTATGCTAGTGCTAGAACTGGGTTTCTGGGGCAAATCCCAAGCAGTCCAGCTCTCCATACATAGAGTGGTGATAGGAATCAAAGACCAGATCAATCTCTTCTCTGTAACAGTTATATCAAGCTGTGTGTTCTCCTCAAAGAGCCCCAGCAATTCAAAGTCAGCCGAAAGTCCACGTCTCTATTTTCCCAGATAACTTGTGAAGTCCACATAGAGACACAGTTCACACACTCACTTTGTTGTTAAAAGTTTTCTGGGTTCCATCAACGATCCTCCAAAATCTAGAACTAATTGTACCTGCTGAAATAACTATTGCACATACAGAACACAGACGTCTTAAAAAGCACCTGGTAGCTGTCTTGTCACAAATGCCTTGTCCTCGAATATTCTTACTTATTCATGTGAAGATTAGCTTGGACTTCCCACTTAGTTTCCTCCTTAACAAACTACTCTTGGGATGGTTTCCTGTGAGAGCCATTTGTCAACCATCAGGTCTAGGTTGTCAACACACACGCACACATAGACACACATGCACGTACATACACACACCAGAAAAAAAAGACAGTCATTCATTTTTATTTTTGTCAGTTGTGGGGATTGAACTCAGGGCCTAGGCTCTGTTCTGGACCTCTTTTTGCTTAAGGCTAGCACTCTACCACTTTGAGCCACAGCTCCATTTCCAGTTTTTTTTTTTTGGGGGGGGGGGGGGTTATTGGAGATAAGAATCTCACAAAGTTTCCTGCCTGGGGTGGCTTTGAACCATGATCCTCAGCTCTCAGCCTCCTGAGTGGCTAGGATGACAGGCGTGAGCCACCAGCACCTGGCTTCAAAGTACTGAGGAATTGAACCCAGGGCCTCATGCATGCAAGGTGAGCACTCTACCACTGAGCCACCTTGCCAGCCCATTGGCCTCTTATTTCTAGGAATTGTGAATTCTTTCTATCATTTCTTAGGTCGTTTTCTTTTTGGAAATTGGAATTCATAGAATCACAGAGACTTTTAAGGCGAGACGAAAACCTAGTAAAGTAGCTCAAGCTTGTAATCTCAGATACTTGAGAGTCAGGGGTTAAGGATTTGTGGTTCAAGACCAGTCCAGGCCAAAAAGAAAAAAAAGCTCACAAGACTCCATCTTGGCCACTGTCACATGCAGTGACTTGCCTGTATCATTCTAAACGATGAAGGGGAGCACAAATAGGAGCGTCACAGTCCAGTCTAGCCTAGACATACAGCAAATCCTGATCTTGAAAACAACCAACGCGACCAGGGGCTGCTAGAGCGGCTCAGATGGCAGAGCATCTACCTAGCAAATGTGAAGTCCTGAGTTCCAACTCAGTATTGCCAAAGATAAAACCGCTTAGAAAAGAAACTGGAAGTGATTCAAGTCAACCATTTTGCACTGCAAAGGGAGGAGATGGAGTAGATCTGGGGTGGGGTGAGGCAGGCCGAGGCTGCGGTGGTGCCCCAGCTGCTGACAGAGCAAGTATAACTTACCTGAACCGGGGATGGTGGGCAGCTCCGGGTGTGCACCCTGGGAGCATGCTGTGTGACTCAACCTAGTTACGTCCTCACACCAAGGCCCGGCTCATGGATTCATGGCTTCCTGTCTGATCCCTAGTTAGCTTCTCCCCCCAACTTGAAAACGGTATCAAATGTAAGCGAGGGTATTAGAGAGGCTGATTTCCAAATGGTCTCCAAATAACAGTCTCCCAAACAAGAACATTGCTTCACTTTGTGGTAGGGTTTATTTTCCTTCTGCCAGCTGCTCACGAGTGGTCACCTCCCTTCCACAGGCATTAGGTGGGCCACCCGCAGAGACCCTGCCTGAGTCTCAGCCTGCTCCTTCCCTGGGCCCTGGCGACCTCGAGGGGAGCACAGAGGACACCACAGCCGACCTCCACCATCACGGTGTGTACTCGCCTCCACTCCCAGCATGGCAAGCAGTACCAGTCCTCTGTGGTACCTCTGAGAAGGGCCCTGGTTGTATGTGAACACATGCCATCAGCTGGCCAATGCTGGCCCATTGACTAGGATGAAAAGCAGAGAAGCGAATGGGATTTCCTTTTCTTCTCTTTTTTGGTTGGTTGTGGGGCATGAACTCACAGAGGCCTCTGGCTACTGTCCCTGAGCTCGTCTGCTCCAGGCTAGCGCCCTGCCACTTTGAGCCACAGCTCCACTTCCAGTTTTCTGGTTGTTCCTTAGAGATAAGAGTCTCACAGCCTTTCCTGCCCCGGCTGGCATGTAACTGTGATCCTCAGATCCCAGCCTCCTGAGTAGCTAGGATGAGAGGCGTGAGCCACCGGCGCCCGTCACCAATGGGATTTTCCATTCCGCCTGTCTTCTTTTGAGTAAGGAAGGCGAGTTGGAAAACTTAACACCTGGTGAGGGACGTCTCTGAACAAGTTAGACAATATACCGCCATTAACCTGACTTGGACTGAGTACTCTAGAGTGCTGCTTGCCTCTCCTGTAAATATTTCCCCCGGCCCTCATAAATTTAAATTGAAAACAAAAAAATGAAGCCAGACTGTGGAAACTCAGCTATTCAGAGCTGTCACCCGGCAGAAATATATTGTCACCTAATGGTTAAAAGAAGGAGTTTGGGAGTGAAAAAACGGTCTTCTCAGAAAGCCCCTGGAAAGCTTGTTTCTCTGGGCTTTAGTTTTCTTGTTCATGGCACAAGAAGAATGATTCCTCCTTTGCGGCAGAGTTAGCTTTAAAGAGCAAATGAGGTGAGGCACAGGGGGTTTCGTAGCTCCATGTGCAGAATACAGTAAAAGCTGAAGGACGTAGTTACGACACCTAGGCAGGGCCTTCCCAGTCTTGTACAGTTCTTAGAACTAAGGACAAGAGACAATATAGACCGTCAATAAGTGAGTGAGTGAGTGAGTACCAGGTCAGTCTAAACTTCTGAGAAGCAGAGGTGAAGGCAGGGCTAGAGTGCACGCGTCGTCTTCAGGGGAAAGTGTATGCATGAAAGGAAGCAGGGAGGGCTGGGAAGGCGGCGGCTCAGTGGTAGAGCGCTTGCCTTGCATGCATGAAGCTCTGGGTTTGATTCCTCAGCACCACATACACAGGAAAAAAAAGTTAGAAGTGGGCGCTGTGGCCAAGTGGTAGAGCGCTAGCCTTGAGCAAAAAGAAGCTCAGAGAAAGCGCCCTGAGTTCAAGTCCCAGGACTGGCAAAAAATAAAATTAAGAAAGGAAACAAGGAAAGACTGAGAGAGGCTGGGTGAGCTGCCTGACCATAATGAACTCTTTTTTTTTTTTTTTTTCGGTCGGTCATGGAGTTTGAACTCAGGGCCTGGGCGCTGTCCCTGAGCTTCTTTGGCTCAAGGCTAGCACTCTACCACTTGAGCCACAGCGCCACTTCTGGCCTTTTCTGTGTACGTGGCACTGAGGAATCGAACCCAGGGCTTCATGCATGCTAGGCTAGCACTCCACCACTTGAGCCACAGTGCCGCTTCTGGCTTCTTCTGTATATGTGGTACTGGGGAATTGAACCCTGGGCTTCATGCATACTAGGCAAGCACCTCTACCACTAGGCCACATTCCCAGCCCTTTGTTTATTTTTTTAGTCTAGCACACATGTGTAAAATTACACAATTTGTTAAGCTTCTACCACAAAAATGTGGGCATTCTTCAACATCAAACTAGAAAATTCCCCCTAGGATGTGTAGAGTTAATTATAGAGCAACGAGGCAGGGCAAGACATGATTTATATTTGATATGCATTTACTGGCCACAGCTGATTTAATGTAGCAAAAGTCATGGGCAACCATTAGAATCGAATGAGAAAGCGCAACTAAGAATGTTAAAGAAATTGCCCTTACTTAATTCCTTATACATAACACTGATGATTTATCACACATTAATTTTTGTCCAGACCCTTCCTTGCCCTCTAGCCTTACTGTCAGCAGCTCACAGCTGAATTTCAGAGCTGTGTTTCTTGCAGAGCTGAGATAACCCGAGACTCAGGAGGAGCCTGGGATCCACCTAGGGCGATGTCCCCCTGACCGGGCCTCTCGGATGTGGAGGCTTCCTGCCCATCCCCCACTCAGCTGCCCCTTCTTAATTTCCCCTTCCAGACTTTCCTGCAGCAAGTCCTGAGCCTCTTGTTGGTGCTTAGAGAAAAGTCTGACCTTGAGAAGTTGTGCTTGGCTGACCCGTAAGGAAATCCACATGCCCTTCTTAGCTGTGGGGGAAGAGAGAAAGGTCTCCCTACTGTACCATAATTCTTTTTTTTTTTTCTCTTTTTTTTTTTTTTATTGTAAAGCTACTATACAGAGGGTTACAGTTACATGAATGAGGTAATGAGTACACTTCCTCTTGAACATTGTTACCCCCTCCATTGTTTTCCCCCTACCATCCCCTCCCTCCCTCCCTTCCCCGAGGTTCTTTTTTTTTTTTTTTTTTTTTTGATTGTGATTAAATGATTACATAATTTCAAAGTCACAAGTTCATTCTAACTTCCTTGGAGCAAATTGTCTACCACAGTCTGTAATATATAACAGTGTTCACATGTTATATACCATATTTGTGATCAGCAGCATGGGGATATTTAGTAGTGGTTCAACCAGATGAGCGGGAGTTCTTTGTTTCTTAAGTCCTGTTAGTTTTGTCGTATCACCTAACCTTTTGGATTTAGCATCCACTTATCAGGGAGACCATGTACCGTTTGTCTCTTCGTTCTTGGCTTACCTCGCTCAACATGATTCCTTCTAGCTCCATCCATTTCCCTGCAAATGCCATTATTTTGTCATTTCTAATGGCTGCATAATATTCCATGTGTGTAGATACCACAATATTTGGATCCATTCATCTGTGGTGGGGCATCTCGGTTGTTTCCATATCCTAGCTATTGCAAACAGTGCTGCAATAAACATGGAGGTGCATTTGTCCTTGTATATTGGTTCCTGTTGTTCAGGGTAGATGCCTAGAAGTGGTATGACTGGGTCGTAAGGGAGGTCAATCTTTAGCTTTCTAAGGACCCTCCAGACTGCTTTCCAAAGTGGTTGTATAAGTGTATATTCCCACCAGCAGTGTAATAGGGTTCCTCTTTCTCCACATCCCCTCCAGCATTTGTCGTTGGCTGATTTGTGGATGTGGGACATTCTGACTGGGGTAAGGTGGTATCTCAGGGTTGTCTTTATTTGCATTTCCTTCACCACCAGGGATGATGAACATTTCCTCATGTGTTTCTTTGCCATTTTTATTTCTTCATTTGAGAAGTCCCTCTTTAGTTCCCTTGCCCATTTAGTAATTGGTTTGTTAGGTTTGGGAGAGATTAGTTTCTTGAGTTCCCTGTATATACAGGATGTTAACCCCTTGTCTGATATATTGCTGGTAAATATTTTTTCCCAATTAGTTGGTTGTCTTTCTAGCTTAGTTGCGATAGATTTAGCTGTGCAGAAGCTTTTTATTTTAAGGTAGTCCCATTTGTCGAGTCTCTCTCCAACTTGTTGTGACCCTGGGACTCTGTTCAGGAAGTTCCTTCCTGTGCCTATTAGTTCAAGTGTCTCTCCTACTCTGTCCTGCAGTAGTTTCAGAGATTCAGGTTTAATGTTAAGGTCTTTAATCCATTTTGAGTTGATGTTGGTGCATGGTGATAGGCTGGGGTCCACTTTTAGTTTTCTGCATGTGGCTGCCCAGTTTTCCCAGCACCAGCGGTTGAAGAGGCTGTGTTTCTTCCATTGTATATCTTTGGCTCCTTTGTCGAATATCAGCTGGCTGTAGGCCTGTGGATTTATATCTGGATCTTCTATTCTGTTCCATTGGTCTTCGGGTCTGTTTTTGTGCCAGTACCATGCTGTCTTTGTGATTATAGCTCTGTAGTAGAGTTTGAAGTTCGGCATGGATAGCCCTCCCATATTGTCTTTATCCCCTAGAATTGTTTTGGCTATTCTAGGTCTTTTGTTGTTCCATATAAATTTTTGGACTGTTTTCTGTATTTCAGTGATGTACGTCATTGGGATTTTAATAGGAATTGCATTGAATTTGTATATTAGTTTTGGAAGTATCACCATCTTTACTATATTAAGTCGGCCTATCCAGGAGCATGGGAGGTCTTTCCATTTCCTAGTGTCTTCTGCAATTTCTTTCTTTAACTTTTTATAGTTCTCATTAAATAGTTCTTTTACATCTTTGGTAAGGTTAATTCCTAAATATTTTATTTTTTGGGAGGTTATTGTGAATGGGGTTGCTCCCTTTATTTCCCTCTCTTCCTGTGCGTTATCAGTGTATAGGAAGGCAACTGATTTTTGTGGGTTTATTTTGTATCCTGCTATTTTGCCGAAGTGACTTATGATTTCTAAAAGTTTGTGGATGGAGTTTTTGGGATCGTGGAGGTATAGTATCATGTCGTCTGCAAAAAGGGATAGTTTAACTTCTTCTTTCCCTATGCGGATTCCTTTAATGTCTTTTTCTTGCCTTATTGCCCTGGCTAAGGGTTCTAGGACTATGTTGAAGAGGAGTGGAGACAGTGGGCATCCTTGCCTTGTTCCTGTTTTTAGGAGGATTGGTTGTAGCTTTTCCCCATTAAGTATAATATTGGCTATTGGTCTGTCATAAATGGCTTTTATTGTTTTTAGAAATGTTCCTTCTATTCCTATTTTCTCCAGAGCTTTTAGCATGAATGAATGTTGAATTTTATCAAAGGCCTTTTCTGCATCTGTGGCGATAATCATGTGATTCTTGACCTTGGCTCTGTTGATATGCTGGATTACATTTATTGACTTACGTATGTTAAACCATCCCTGTGTCTCTGGGATGAAGCCTACCTGATCATAGTGTATTATTTTTTTTTATGTGTTTCTGGATTCTGTTAGCTAGAATCTTGTTAAGGATCTTTGCATCTGTGTTCATCAAGGAGATTGGCCTGTAATTCTCCTTTTTGGTTGGGTCTTTGCCTGGTTTGGGAATGAGTGTGATATTGGCTTCGTAGAATGAGTTTGGGATAGCTCCCTCCTTCTCTGTTTCTCTGAAGAGCTTGAGGAGTATGGGTATTAGTTCTTCTTTAAAGGTCTTATAGAATTCTGCTGTGAATCCATCTGGTCCTGGGCTTTTTTTTGGTTGGAAGACTTTTGATAGCTTCCTGTATCTCATTATAGGATATTGGCTTATTTAATTGGTTAACTTCTTCTTTGCTCAGTTTGGGTAACTTGTATTTCTCTAAAAATGCATCCATTTCTGCCAGATTTTCTTCCTTTAGAGAGTATAGCTTTTGAAAGTAGTCTGTTAGAATTGTTTGGATATCTTGGGTACGTGTTGTGATGTTTCCCGTGGCGTCCCTAATCCTATTAATATGGGTTTCCTCTCTTCTTTTTTTAATTAATCTTGCCAACGGGCCATCAATTTTGTTTTTTTTTTCAAAGAACCAGCTTTTTGTTTGGTTTATTTTGGTTATGGTTTTCTGATTTTCTAATTGGTTAATCTCTGCTCTCAATTTGGTTATCTGGCTTCGTCTAGTAGCTTTAGGTCCCATTTTTTCTTGTTTTTCTAGCTGTTTTAGTTGCAACATGAGATTATTTACTTGGTCTGTCTCCATTCTCTTGATGTGGGCACTGAGGGCAATAAATTTGCCCCTCAGGACTGCTTTTGCTGTGTCCCACAAGTTTCTTTGTGAGGTGTTTTCATTTTCATTGAGTTGTAGGAAATGCTTTATTTCTTCTCTGATCTCTTCTGTTACCCAGGCCTTGTTAAGGAGTGTGCTGTTCAATTTCCATGTATTAGAGAAATTTCTGCGGTATGCTTTGTTATTGAGAGCTAGCTTGATTCCACTGTGGTCAGATAGGATACAGGGGATTATGTCGATCCCTTTGTATTTGCTTAAGTTCCTTGCATGAACTATGATATGGTCTATTTTGGAGAAAGTTCCATGAGCTGCTGAGAAGAATGTGTACTGTGTTGTTTTAGGGTGAAATACTCGGTAGATGTCAGTTAATTCCGCTTGAAGTATGGCCTCACTTAATTCGGTAGCTTCTTTGCCAATCCTCTGGTTGGTAGACCTGTCCTTTGGTGAGAGTGGCGTGTTAAAGTCTCCTAGTATTATCGTATTGAGATCTATTTTATTCTGTAAGTTTGAGAGCATTTGTTTAACATATCTGGGTGCACCGATATTTGGGGCATATAAGTTGATGATGGTTATATCCTCCTCTTGGATTGTTCCCTTTATTAATATGTAGTGTCCGTCCTTGTCTTTCTGTACTGATTTTAATGAAAAGTTTATTTTGTCAGATATCAGGATAGCTACACCTGCTTTCTTATTGGGGGCATTTGATTGGTAGATCCTTTTCCACCCCTTCACTCTGAGTTTGTATGTTTGGCTGAGAGGTGGGTCTCCTGAAGGCAACAGATGGATGGGTCTTGTTTTCTGATCCAGTCCTCAGTTCGTTTTCTTTTAATTGGCGAATTCAACCCATTTATATTAAGAGAAAGTATAGAGAGATGCATTGTTGTCCCTGCCATTCCGTTTTCCTAAGTTTTTCTTCTTTCCTTTCCTCCTGTGCTTGCTCAGTTAGACTTTGAGTAATGCCTGTTTGGGGCAGGTCCCAGTTCCTGGTTGCTTTCTTCAGGTTGTGTCCCCCCTCTTAGAATTCTTTGTAATGCTGGCTTAATGTTTATGTATTCATTTAGTTTTTCTTTGCTATTAAAAGTTTTCAGTTCTCCATCGAATGTGAATGCTAGCTTTGCCGGGTATATCAGTCTGGGTTGGCAGTTATTGGCTCTCAGGGCTCGTATGGTGCTTTCCCAGGCTTTTCTTGCATTCATTGTTTGTGTGGAGAGATCTGCAGTGATTCTAATTTTTTTCCCGTTGTAGTATAGCTCCTTCTTCATTTTTGCTGCATGCAGGATTGTTTCCTTATTATTCAGATCCATCATTTTTACTATAATGTGTCTAGAAGTGTTTCTCCTGGGATCTTGCTTGTTGGGTGTTCGATAAGCTTTTGTGATGTAGTTAAGATGGTCGTTTTTGAGGTGGGGAAAATTTTCATTGACTATCTTGTTAAATAGGTGTTGCATTCCCTTGCTCTGGAATTCCTCGCCTTCGTCCACTCCGATTATGCGAAGGTTAAATTTTTTAGCATTATCTGCTTGCTCTTGAATTTCCCTTTGGTTTAATTTGAGTGATTTTTCCATATCTGTCACTTTTTGGTCCAGTTGGTGTATTCTG